ATATATAGTTTTATAATACTCCCCGAATATATTTAAATATAATGATATTACACCTGAGACCCGAAACGGGTATAAAACACGTTACGAAAAAAGTTGTATTCAAAAAGTTTCAATTTTTTTTCTTTTTATGACGCTTTTCTCGCTTTCTCTTGTTTTCTTCCTTCCTTTTAAAATCAATCTTTTGGGATACGTCATATATTGTCTGCCGCCACTCGGATCCATTTCCATGAACGTAGAATTTTGTCATGTTAAAGGATATGTTAACAGTTGTCCTTGTACCGTAATATTGGGCGACCAGCCCTCATCGAGCCCTTAGAAAGTTCACCATACAGAAGTGCCTTGACAGGTCTTTCATCTGGCATGCGAGAAACTTGTCCCATCCATCGTAATTTGCTGCCGATATTCTATATGTATACGGTCCTCTAACAAGGTAGGCCTAATGGTTGTGTAAAATATCTACAAATTACAATTCTTTACTTAAAACTGATAAGCCTGTTCCGATAATTGTAGACACCACTGTACTGCATTAGTACCATTCTGATTCCTTTGTAACACGTTCAATCGCATGACGGTTGTGAGAATCATCTGCAGAGGTGACATGATCATCATCAATTAATTATTATTAATTTAATTTTTCTTAAATCTATATTACGGTATCCCCATTCTCAGAATACCTTTACGTTGGTAGGAACAGGCCAGGTGTGGTCCACTCTACCACATGCCTGACATTGCCTACGTACACGATGGCTCGTTAGTGCTTATTAATTTCAAACATGGGTGACTGGTTCCAATTCAAGGTTAAGGGAGTTGTGTGGATTTGTAAAAAAATGTTGATAAAGTGAATTCTATTGCCTCCTACAGCCAACACACACTGTGAAGAAAGTAGTGACTCTGTTCTTCGGTAAGTTATGATTGGTCTGAATCTGATGCAATTACGTTGACAGCTGGGTGAAGGGTCGGGATGGACTTGCATCAGTAAACATGAAGATGCGGTTGTTTTCACTGCTGATTCGTTTAATTCGTTACATTAGTGTGATAATCGGTTAGGATTTCTCCTACTGGTGTATAGCAACAGGGAGGAGTTGTCTACATATCACAAAATGACCACCCATAATAGTTCAAATGACCTGCATCAAGATATCCAAAATCCATGAATATTATTTTATTTTAAATCATGTTTTATCATATGCCGTCCTACGAAGAGCAGCTTGGCTCTGTTGGCTTAACTGATGGTAGCCACTGTGTCCTTTCAGACCTTTGGTCCCTGGTTTAGTTTCATATACTCTCACCTTATATGCAGAAATTTAGGTTTACAGCGCGCCGTCTTTCCGTGAAAAGTTTATGTTGTTGTTCCCGTGTGATATATGGTCCATGTGATGAATGCGTTAAAGGAGGCAGTAAAATCATTGGAAAAGATCGTGGTGTAATTCTGAATTCACAATTCAGAATTGGCGCCACAAGAAATAAGGGATCGGACTTTCGTGGATAGGCCTATCACAGTCCAATCCGAAAGTTCTCGATCGTTCACCATAATAATATAATAATAATATTTTAGCATTTATATAGCGCTCTTCACCACGGCGTGGTAAGTTTTGTATTTTGAATTATTCGATTCAATAAGAAGTTTATATTGTCAACGTCACATAATATTCTATCTATCCTTATACAAATAGCAATCTCATTGAATATATTTTTGCGGTCTAATAGCAGACTATCTTAAAAATTACTACGTCTCCACTCTGTGTAATTTAACAGGAAATGCTTTGGTCTCTGGAGAGTGTATCAAGGCATTGAAGTATTTCCTTCACAAGTGTCATCAACGGTAATAAATTCAAGAATATGTTTCTATAGAAAATAATTTATCAAAACATATCTATTTAAAGCTTATATCAAACGAAAATTGGTATTCAAACTTTAAACTTAATAAATACAAGAATATGATACTATAGAAGATATTTCATTAATTTTCTTTAGGCCTATATCAAACGAAAGTTTGTTTTTCAAACGTTCATATATTTTGGTGTTAAAATAATGATCAGATTTTTGGAGTGAGTGAATAATATACAGACTGTTTTGACATTGCTACATACGATAATTAGTATTCACATTTATTTAAATTAGATTTTGCTTTAAATGCCTCATATAATATATTCGTTTATACTTACAGCACTTTTAAGTTGGTAAAATGTATGAATGTGTCGGGATGTACAGTGCTAAATGAATTGTCGTTCAGATATCTGTAAGAAACAAAACAAAGATACTTCGTGAAATAGGCTTGTTAATAAACACTATATCGTAAAAATGTGCCATTGTACAAGTGAGGGCAAATTAGACACCATACTAAACTTTTTTAAATGAAAATATTATATTGTTTACTTGCAAAGCCCTCATATGCTGCGCAACCATTATTACGAAAACAGGAAAACTGCCATCCCAAATATGGGAACAGAGCCAATAAGTAAACAGTTATGTAAAATCGTTGGGTATGCGTAGATGTGAGTCTGTGTAATTTTTTGGCGCCCAAAATAATTTTTATCATTTTGGGCGTGTTTTAAACCATACCCTGTAAAATGATGTTTATATTTTTGTTGTTTATTAGTACGGTTAATATTTGTACTTCTGTACGCGTGTTTTTGTCTATTTCCCTTTACTAAAGTGTGTTCTCACAATTCTAATCTGCAGGTGTAAACAATTATATCACTACCATTTTTATCTTTAATCTCAAATAACGTGAGTAAATTTCTAATAAATTCTTCACAATTTGTTCAAGTTTAAATCAATCAAGGCTTAAATTTCTGAAGGGTCTAGTTTCTGAAATAGAAATTCATAGAAATTAATCTTATTTTAAGGTGGTCATTTTGATGCTTATGACAGGTCAGTGCATCTCTCCCTAGGGCTTATACCCAGTATTACCAGGGTTTATCGTTTCAAGTTAGCGGTCATTACATTAATATTGATATCTACTGGTAGCTTGTACTCCACTTAGCAGACGCATATCGTTTTGCAGATTGCAGCTGGGCAGGTTACAAGCCTCTGGCCAGTTGAGCCAAGCAAGGCACCAACATAAGAATATTTTGACGAAAGCTGTACAAAACGATATAGAATGTTTGATTGAAATTGAAGTTTATGTAAGTATTCAAGTATTTTTATTACATGGCAGTTAGAACAGCATTACATTGACGTTCCAAATATTTAAAAATACAGTCACAATTAAAATACAATATTCGATAAAAAGTGCACATAAATATGTATAAAAGCAATATTAAACAGTTAAATGAATTCAGTAAAATGTATCATTTAAAAATTGAATACAAGACAATCCAATAAAATAACACTTCAATAATAATAATTCTATTTGAAAAATGCTTTCAAAACATGGTGATGGTGCTTACAAAAAATAAAGAATACAATCACATCAACAAATTAATAAATGAAATGAAATCAACTAAAAAAAAACAATTACATCAAAGGAGTATAATACATTTGATTAAATGTACAATATGATTACCAGAATATGACAATACACCAAAAAATAATATGAAACCCAGCTCTGGAATTCAACAGAAGACTGAAATAATAAAGATATATACTGGTGTATATACTTTAATTATTCCTCTGTATCTGCAAACATCGTTTAGATGTTAATTATGATCAAGAATTTTAAAGATTTTGTCATTAATTGAGAATCTAAAATCTGCCGTGAGCGCCACTACTAGGTCGTTGATCTTGGTATATTTTCTGTGTCACTTGCAGGTGGATTTGTGTGTCCAAAGCTCATTAAGCCAATTGATTTCCTTAACAGTTACTTGATTCTAATTTTCAGATTGACTTATGTCACTACCCTCACGTTTTGGCAAGGAAACAGTCCACTGCGATTTCCCAGTTGGAGTATGGTGACTAGTTGCAACGCTAATATTCACTCTTTGAAAACGCCGCTTTGGTTTCAAACCAGCTACTGCTTTCTGATAATTTTCAGAGGTTTTGTTATTTTTGTGTAAAGCATTGCCCGCGAGTATTGATATAGCTTGGACTAGTCGCAAATAAATGTGTGAAACCGGATATTTATACGAACGTTAGCATGAGCTTATGGCTGTCCCAAGTAAAGTTCAGAAGTTAGATGTTAATACATAAGTCATAGGTGAACAGCTCAAGATCAGTTTCTTTTTATACCTTTAAAGGCATTAAACACTGTCTCATTCACCTTTCTCAGTCTTTTAGGTAAACTGATAATTATTGAAAGGTGTACCTAAGTAATTAATTTATTACAACTAGATCATGTGTATAATCCCCTATCTGTTCCAATGCTCTGCATGAGTGTGCATCTTGGCCGATGAAACCCGCTGTCTCCTGTAATTTCAGCCGATATGCTTATTGAAAGTATTCTGCCATGTTTCCTTTTGTGCTGGTGGGGTATGATTCCAAGAATTTCCAGAAGTCAACTTCAACGGCAGAATATCAACTTCTCCTTCTTTCGATCTGTTTTCGATCTTAAAAATGATATTATATAAGTCTTCTAAAAAATGGTTAACTTCTAGGTGTAGAGATATTTTGTTAAGAAGTAGTGTTTTAATATTATTATTTATACCAAATGTAGGCATAGTAATCATAGAGTAAACCATTAGTTGTACATAAATAGACTCTGCCCAGTAATTGAACCACTTATGTTTGGGGAACCAAAAAGTAACAAAATTGTATCATACTATTCTTTTGGTATTTCCATGCGTATAGTATGCCTATAGGGGTAGGCCTATAGGGGTGGGCATAACATTTGGTGGGAGGGCCAAAGTACTTTCCCCACCAATTCTATTTATTTACAAATCTTTTTTGTATATTCAACCAATAATATTATAAATATACAGAAGTTGTGTTTTATAGATTTACGAAAATGATAATTAATTAGAGGCGTATCTTAGCCTTGCCCGTTGCTATATAACTGTTCATTTAGCATGGTAACAATCCAACGTTTCTTCCTGTTACTATTATCACAGAAACACAAAGCCACATATGGGATTTACTGTGACAGTTGCGTGTTACTATGGGATTAAAACGAAAGAGAAAGTAATAAGATTTCTTTACAGAAGCTGACAAGAAACTTTGGCAAAGATGGAGAAGAGAAAGACAAAATATTTTGTATTCAAACGTGATAAGGCGAGCAGAATTTTCTTTATTCTATGAGTATGTTTTCTGTGTATTGAGTTGACAGTCTGTGTTCAGAAAAGCCTGGCCTGGATCTACCAGAGAATCGTTTACTGGATATTCGAGTAATATTTATTCGTATGACTTCCTCAGAACATACACATTTTGTCGTATTTTGCATCATTCAAAACATTGATAAAAACCGGTAATGTAGGTACGTGGCGTAAATTGACATATCGATTACAGAACCTGGATTTGAGTAAATTACACTGCTATAGTACCAACAAATTTTCCAAAACGATATAAATGAGAACAGATTACTGCGTTTTATATATGCTTATAAGTATAGGAGAGAAACGGGTTTTTCAAATGTGTGTTTAAGTATTTCTAGACAAAGTAAATCAAATGCTTGAAGAACATTATAAAACAGTATTTCTAGCCTATGTAAAGCAAATTCTTGCATATAATTCTATAACAGTGTTTCTATAGCCTAGGTAAATCAATACTTGTAAAACATTCTAGTGTTTCCAGCCTAAGTAAAGCAAATGCTTGGGGAACAATCTGAAACAGTATTTCTAGCCAAAGTAAAGCAAATGCTTGTAGAACATTCTAAAACAGTAATCCCGGTTATTTTAATTGACCTACTACACACATATATCCTGAGGATGTAGGTGGCGTAGTTCCAAAGTGTTTCATATCTTAATTGAACGTTAGCCCAATGAAAGCCACGTACCGCGGATATAAGGTGCATAACAAGAGAAAACACATATTTATGTTATTGAAAGTAAAAATAAACCTCGGTTTAATTCTTGTTTGTGTAATTATTTTAGAGTTGCGAAGAATGTTCAATTGCTACTTCCAATCTGAAGGTGTTTGTTCAAATGGCAAAATTTATATTTTATCACTGTAAAATACCCGTGAAAACTGACTCGCTATTCAAACTGTGACAGACTGTCGATCAGAAACATAATATATTAATATTTCATGTTATTGAAAATTAATAAGAACTGTTTTGGTTTGAATTCTATGTTGCTGTCTATCGTAGTTCTCATCCTTTGCAGCACCATAATACGAAGGCGTCATATCCTTGTCAGATAACATGTTAATAAAGGAAATAAGCAATCCATCCCTTCATTTCCAGTTTTCTCAATCATATTTATTAGGCTTATTTGTTGGTATCCGTTTAATATCTGTTTTAATTAAGATATTATATCTTCGGCTAAAACTGTGATGTGATTCTTCGCATGTTTTTTTTTTTTAAGATTGTAAAAGATTATAAATTGTAATTTCAGAGATAACAATCCAAAACATCTGACTTTTAAAATATTCTTCTTCACTTTCCTATTATATTGTATAAATTTTACATTGACCTACATATACTTTGGACCCAAACCGAAATAACATTAATCGAAAGTCAAATGCAACTTAAATTTTACACCAAAAAAAGGAAGATGCACTAGACAGATCATCCCATTTTCTTTAACAAGACTTTAAGCGTAAATTCAAGTAGGCAGTGTATTTTTTTATCTTTCATGAAATGAAAGATAAGATAAATTAATATTCAGCTTAAAGTTCCTGAAATTTGCCCATGTATGTAACATACTCGTAATGTCGACCGCATGTCATTTTAAAAATTTAAAACATTTATATATGTATATATATATATATGCCTATTTTTTAATATCTATATCTTTAAAATATGCATCTTTGATTTTGAGTTTGTTGCATTGTATTCGAGTTAATAATGATTACATTTCATACATGTAAGTTGTCCAGCATTTACAAATTAGGTACATGTGTTCATGTTTATAGGTCAGGTTAGAATAGGGTAAATTATATTAAAATATATTTTATTCTCTTGACATATTCTACTTTCTCTAATTAATAGATGTGTTCAATTTCGAATATAAGTGGCATCTGGCTGTTTATTCGAAAGACTTAACAAGCTAAATATATTGGTGTCTGTTTTTATCAATAATGCCAAGAAAGTATCAACACTGATTATATTATCACATTATAAATGTAGGTCTACAATTTTATGACGTTAAAGAATATATTTGAACTTGTAGTAAAGAGGTATTTTTATTTTGGCATGTGTGATTTTTTAATGATACACAGAAGTGTTGTTAAAGATATTCTCTACGTTGAGCAAATAAGCTGGAATAAAATCATATACGTAAGTAGAATAAAAATAATGGTATTTGGATTGATGTTTTAATTTTTAAAATTTTAGAACGGGAAAATATTTGAATCATCAATTAACAGCCTTT